TTAAAATAAATTAGGAAAAGAAGAGGACCAAGAACACTCCCTTGAATCACTCCACTGGTGATTGCTTTCGGTTTATAGAAATGGTCGCCCATGCGCACCATCTACTGTCTACCAGTTAGATACGAAGGCAGCCAAGAAAACATCGGGATTGCTTATTCCCGAAAAGCCCACTTTCACCTTACAACCATAGCTTGTATTCGCCTAAAGTTTTAATCGCACAGTTCGGCGCACTATTATCAGCCCGAAGTGTTTTAAAATCGGTTAAAATTTATTGTAATCTGTAGTTGAAGGCCTGGAATGCCATTACTTGCTATTACTGAGGGGCCAACATATTGGAATCCCTTACTTATGAAATACGATGTTCCGCGGCCTAGTTGACATGAATCTATCGCCGATCGTTTAAGCATATCCCAGTTCACTCACAAAGCACTAGGATTAAAGTTCTCAAGTTAATTCTTGTCATGACTTCGATCCTCTTTTAAAAGGAAAATGAGACTAGCCAATGAGTGGGCGGAAATAATATATTCCAAGAAGAGTAAGGAACGAGTTTGACATTCCGTCCAGTGACAAGATTACTCACATGACCGCAGAAATTTTGGTAAAAACCGACTACCCAGGAATTCCGTTATCGCCTTTTCAACTTATAGCAACATTCAGACAGCAAGCCACTCATTTGATGGGAAAGGGTATCAAAGGCCCTTTGGTGGAATAAATTAATCAAGTTTGCATATATTATTGCCACAGGATACGACAACAAGTATTAATTGACGAATGTTCTCATCTCTAGTAGAAAGGTACGCAGATGGAGGGACTCAGTATCCTCAGTGGGATACTATTTTCTCTACGACTGTAACGTCTATTTGGCCAGGCATTTTAGAGATTCGGAAACTGCATAATCATTCGATTATCAAAGTGAATGTGCATTATGAATAATGAATCTTACCTTGGAATACCAAATGTGGCTTTGAGATACGGTGCATACTCTCAGCAGTGGCAATGATATATCTGGGAGTTAACAGAGCAGCGGTTAAAGAGCCCGCCTCGGTTTACCTCGAAGAATCAGAAGGCAGTTTTGCAGTACGGCCAGTTGCTGTGGCAACTTGGGATACTAATCCGTAATGCTACGCTTTACTAGACCATTGCCACTTGCTTAATCGTTACCAACTTCTATACCACACATATAACGCTGAACAATAAATGCTTACCAGTCACGTTAATTACCTAGAATTGCCAATTCTTATCAATGTCTGTGCTGAACACAAATATGACGGTTAAAATACTAAATTGGTTTCAAATTACCAGTGAGTAGTGAGTGGTCTCGAACTTTTACAATACGAAATGTTTGATTACACCGCCAAATGCATGACAATATTTTTCGTATACTAATGGCAAAGTTTGTGAACAAAATAGCGAGCGCATATTTCACTATTGTGTTTTATCTGCCTCTTGTACAGTTGTTCGGGGGCGTCTGGCGTGTGTTAAGTAGTAGCTATCAACCAAGCTAGTGGACCATTTCTTTGTTACCGTTGTTCCATTGTTGAGATATCTAGATGAAAATCTTCGTTGTGTTCAGCACTACGCAAGTGCAGTTATCGGCGAAAAAGATCCATATCGGAATGAAAAAGTGGATCTTTAGAAACACATCGCTGTCAATTTGCTGATGCTTGTCTTCAGCTCGTTCTCTACAGTGTTGTGCCCTAACATCCCCTAAAAATTTAGCGGACATTAAGCAAAAAGCATTCCGCACCATGCGGCAAGTTGTTGAAATGGTCATCACTGAATAGCTGTCGAATCTGAGGGCCCACAAAAATTCCCTTTAATTTGCCTCTGAGTGAAGGGAATTTCTCATGCAGATATCGAAACGCTGGTGAAGTCAGGCCCATGGCTTTCACAAATTCTTCATCAAACCCAATTCGTTGTGTAAAGGGGACGGCGGCATTTCGTGAGCCTCGACCATAGTTGAATGATGGATATTCTTCTTTCCAACTGTTATAGTTTACCTGGAAGTCCAATTCTTCCTTAAGTAGTGCAAATCCCTAGCTCCATTAGGCTACTCGTACAACCAACAGCAGTATTTTGTGTATCTTAGTTGCAACCTCATTAAAAGGGCAACTATCTTCAAGTCATCACAGATGTCAGCTGCACTTTTTATACTCGATGGAATTCTACAGCTACTTTACGTTCCCATCCCTATCTTTCTTGTGAAAAGCCCGCCCGATTGTGATAAATGGAAGATGAGTTGGAACCGTAAGTCTAAATTTGGAGGAGTCTACAAATAGTCTCCATTCTTGTAGGCTATGAGCTCTTTCTAAGGCATTCATGAAACTTTCGATATCGGAAGATAATACCAGATCACCTTTATTAAGATAGACTCCAAATGCTGGTGGTGCTGTCGATACGAAGTAATCCTGATATCTAGAAGATTCCAATGTTGGAGTTATGAACCTAGCAATTCTGCCTTGTTATTGAAAAATTGCATTTCAGGAACAACATCATTTAGTTCTTCCCGTGATTTTCTTTGTTGGGTTGATGGTGTACTGTGGTGGAAATCTGTATAACTGCATACTGACAGACCAGGAAAAGAACAATTCGGCTCACTCGTCCTCATCAAGTGAATCCGGCGAAGGTTTTGATGAATGTTTTGGAATTGGATCTCCTTTACCATTTGGCACTAGTCTGAATGCAGACGAAATATTGGGACATGTTACACTCCAGTGCTTCGTTATCCAGCTGGAAAAAGAAGAAGCCGAGCAGAACTAACACTCATTTGGGAAGTTGGTCGGCTCATTCACAACATGGGAGCTGCGAACGGCAGTGTCATGCAACCACTGTGAAATTTGTGTTGTAAATGTAGCACAACATCTATGCGAGGCCAAAGTTCTGTCCAGTTTCCCAAACTTGCATCTCAAGTACAAATGGTATGCTTTCTTTACATGAGTAGTGCTACTTTTCTTCGGGTTGGCGAAGATCACTTTCCCACGAATATGGAAAAAGTTGTTCACGGTATTAACGCAGTTTCGAGGCTACAGCCTACAAGTTTGTGACCGAAGCAGTAAAAGCTCTATTTTTATTGAAATGTTTAGGTAACAGTGACACTGACTGTATCCCACGAATTTTTAAGTAAGTAAGTGAGTAATCTCCCACTGAGTTTTACATACTTTCCTACTGACCTCGGCTTAGTTCATCAGCAGCCTGACAACAATGCTGCAATACTTCAGAAAATTATGCGATAAACAACGATGCGCATATGTTGACACCATGCAATGTGTTGCAGTAGCATAACATTCTATATCTATTTAGGACGTTGTTACAGTCCTACTGGATTAATCTGTACGGCGGAGCATGGGAAACAAACTACACGAAATACTTTCAAAACGAATACCCTTAAATATTTTGCATCGTCCTGTTCGTCATCAGCACACAGCTATTACACAAGAATCTCAGTGGAAAATTTGATTATTGATCAGTGTCTTCAAGAAAGTGGGAATCTCTACTCCTGTGCTTAAAAGCTGGGGCACTTCAGAACAGGTGTTCCCAAACATTAACTCAGCGGTCTTAATCGATGGCCACCGGTATTTTTTCGCTGACATTTTGCGTCACATAAGCACACCAAACTTATTCGACGATTGGGGGTGGAGCGAAGCTGAGTCTCATAGGTAGGTTTGTATCAGGTCATGCATTACGTTCACAATGATAACGCCCGTCAAGTACTAAATGGCTTTTTTCTCTTTTATAAAGTAACGGTAACAAATGAGTGGAAGAGAATGCGACACAGTTATCGAAAATTTGGCAGTATTTGACTCCTGGTTTCTCAAACGCAAATGAAAGAATTTGATTTACGGAACGAAAGAATATCCGGAAATCATCAGCTGCTTGTAAACAAAATGAATTTACCCGATGCTATCCGTTGGAGTAGATAATGTTTTGCTAACTGGGATGTGCTCTCCGTTTTAAAGTAAACCTACCGCAGGACTATGTGAGACAGGAGAAAGGGACACGCATCTGTTTGTCACCCTAAACGCTGAATAACCTTCTTGGATTACGTATTCAACTTTGTTACTGTGCAATCTATAGCACGGAACCGGCATTAATTTGTCAAGTTGAAATTGATCCTGCAATCACATGCCTTCCGGATGGTTTTGGTATGCAGTCTACTAAGCTATTTTCCTTCTCCTCTTCTAACACCTGGTAATTTAGTTATTTGAATGTCAGTATCAAGCAAATCATCGTGCTTTGAAAGGCAACTAAAGCGATGTAGTTTGTTTTGTTTAGATGCAATCTAATTTTGGCTTCCTATGCATTTACATTCACTTTGACACTTTTGTAATCTCCTTTCAGCATGCCCTTAACTTTCACTGTGTTGATTGCCGTGAAAGTTACCCAAGAGTTCATACGCACTTGCTCATATTGTTCAGGAAATTCGACGGTAGGGTCTGAACTTGCTTAAATTGAGCAGGAACCAGTGCTTTACTTCAAATGATATCTATAGCAAATAACATAATCACACGTCAATTGGCTTCTGCCAGTGACATCAAATTGCGTCAAAATGGATGGGAGAACTGTATCGAGAATTTCGAATCGACCGTGTGGCCCGATATTACAACCAATATGTTACGCTCCTCACGAAGTCAGGTTTTCGCTGTGGCTTGAAGGTCAAGCTATAGACGTGTCACGATTCCATCAAGATGACCCTTCCAGCAGACTTATCGCTGCTTTTAAGCCCGGCTAAAATGCGCTAGATGCTTTCATAGCAAGTAGTAGTAAGGCAACAGGCTACCAAGATGTGTAACATCATGTAATGGGTAATATCATTGGATTTGGCGGCTGAAGGCAGGAGATAAGACCAATAGCATCACTTGTGCTACGTACTTCAAGAGCTGTAACTAGTCTATCCCATTATCAAGAGACACTGTAGCCAAACTCTTTTATTGTTTTCGCGACTAAATGGTACCTGCTTCTGTTCAATGACAGTTCAATTTCTGTCCTACTTTCGAGCACAGGTTCCAGTGCCTGGAATACGTCGTGTACGGCTTGGTCGGAGCTGTGCTACTGTTTGCCTTTCTGGCTTACTTAACATGTGCCCTCTCTTCCGGAAGGAACGCAAAACGGTGCTTCGAAAGCAATCACAAAACCGCTTGTGGGAGCTGTTTCAACATGACGGTAAGTGCAGTACTTCATAGACAGCCGACGAGTAAATCTCAGAAATTTCTATTCTACATATTTATACGTTAATTGAAGGTCTCTTGATGAAACTTCGGTATTTTACCCAAGGTGTTTGCATGCACCAAAAATTTATCTCATGCAACAGCTTATCGCTGTACAATTATTTATTCGTATTATTGTGTGGAAATAACAGACCTAGTTGAGTACATCTACTGTTCCCCGGTTCCATCTAGCTTTAATAGGCAAATCTGTGGTCAGATATTCCGCTTGCTTCCGCTCATTTCAATTCTCGGTTTGCGCACTCACAACAATGTGGACCTCTCGAGATCCTCATTGAGTTGAAGACAAACAGGAAGACCATCGGCTTCAGCATTCTCAAGACTGGATGAAATCGAGAACGGAATGACAACTTTTGCACTAATTGACATCAAGCTGGTTATATTACTTAACAGGTCCAAGTGGAAAACCTAAGTCCTTTTGCAGTATAAGTCGCTTCACAATCTGAAAGAGATGTTTGTAATGGAACATACCGCCGATGAGTTGTGGTCGCTTAGCGGCAATGCTCAGATTGTTTAGGTGAATGAGTATACCTATTAGAACATTACTATCTGTCTCTTCATTAAGTTCCAATAAGAACAGTGCTATTCACAAATGCTTCCTCAGTAACCATACTGGTAGGGATCGGCTTTATGAAATACACATCGGAAAACCTAGCTGAATTGCAGCTGAGCCATTTCATAAAGTACGACATATCGCTGACTAAATACAGGCATTTCACACAGTAGCATGAAGCGTCAAATGTCATCTTTATGTATTGCAAAGCGGCCATTGCTTACACACTAACCAACCCGGACTTAGTGATTACTTTCTCAGAGACAACCTGATCTAAACACATGCATCCCATGGGATTATGTCTCAGCACTTGCAAGCGCTTGGATATCCTGCGCCACCTCCGTGCAACGTGGACGGGGTGCTTGTGACTCTTGTTAAATGCTCATCGCAGCCACTGCTTCGTAGTACATGAGCCAGAAGCACAAGAGGGGTGAAGGAAACAAGGAACCTGGTACGACGTTTAGTGACAAGGTCACCATAAAAATATAACAAGACGCGAGTGCAACAACGGTTTCTACGTGCCTGAAGGATATGGTTTTGAAAGCGCAACCCTGTTCTCTGACTTTTCAGAAGAATTTGTTATCCTCAACAGCAACATATCGACCGTTTACACTGATATTTTCTGCCGTATAACCATAATAACTTAAAGAGATGAAGACTACTATAAGACGAAGATAAGGGAGACCTGGCGTACAACACTAATGCCGTTAGCAAACGTTCAGAGTCGCGATGCCTACACCTTGTCGACAACGTACCATCACAAAATATTGTGCAAAGTTAAAACTGCATTAGCCAGGCAGCTTGCTTGTGACTTTCATTGTCTCGCATCATAATCATAACCATTATCCCCGCAGATAACTCAGAAGCAAACAGATTGTAGACAGTTAGCCTGGCTAGGAGGCGACTGCATACATACCACTGGTGCTCACTGTGATATCTCCAGCCAAGCACAAGGCGGGTCAAGTAGGCTCCAGCGTAGAAGGCGAGACGAACCAGCAGTACCCAGATTTGCGGATATTTAATAAATTTCTTTCTTCCCTTGGACGTGATGGTTTAGCCGCAAAGTTGCACATGACGCTTGTTGCACAGTTCCTAGTCAACCGTTTCGCGAAACCAGACGAATGGACGGACACCCCGAAAAACTGGTCGCGCTTATGAGGGACTTGAAAGCGACCGACTCGATTGACGCACGTTCACGTGACCCACGCGAGTCCCTACCGGCCGAACAAGGAAAAAGACAGAAGGCGAGGCGGACCATTGTGTGGTCTATTACGACCCACAAAGGCAGAACAGGTTTGGCACAGTGGTTCGTTCTGTAAAAGAAATGACTCACCAAGCCTATTGTATGGCTTACAAAGAACAATTGTTCACTTTGTCGCGGCATCGCACTGACGTTAGCTGGCTTGGCGGCTGCTGCGTTGTGTGTTGGAATTGAACGCCGCGTGGCCTAACCTGTGTAGCGGAGTTCGAGGAGCAATTGTGTATATTTGTGAAATCGCTTGACTTTCCCGCAACAGTTAACTTTTGCCCACCTCGTGCCTTGTGACATCCTACAGTTGGAAGATAGAACAATGTCATGTTCGCTAAGCGGTGCCCAGGCCTGCGTAGCCCTTCCCCAAGCCGACACAACTTATTCAATCTTATTTGTTGTTCTGAAGAACTAGCTTGATATTCGTTTACTCAAGTCATCGCAACGGACAACCTGGTGCAATCCAACCTCAGCAATGCTTCGTAGTCAGCGATGATCAGAGACTTGAAGGAGACTCGGAACTTCAAATCAAAGTGGCCAAGTCGCATTCCCATCTAGCAAGGCGGCCCTCACTGGCGTCTTGTGAACACGATCTTCCAGACCGAGGGAAACTCCCTTCTGATGCCACAAATGTCACAAGTACAAAGGGCTTTTCCATTTTTTGCAATCCATGCACTAATAACGTTTATTTTTGAAAGTTTGCGGGCCTAACCCAACGTCGATGCTTACAGTAATTTGCTTATTCAGGACGATGTCCCCGCAGAATACGAACATAGTCAGGAGGCGTAAATAACTCTGTAAGCTGGGTGGAACCGCACAACAGTTCGTCATGGGAGCGGACTCCCTGCATTTATGTGTCCTGAACACTCAGTGTATTGCGAATAGCGGCGAAACACAGATCCGAAAGATCAAACCGTGAAAGACCCAAGAACTTGGGATGTCTAGTTGTAGCAGAATAGCTTAATCCACGGTTATTCAACTTACTTACTTGTGGATAATATTTAACACTTGCAGAATGTGTAACCGCAAGTAACCGAAAACCACATCTGCATGAAGTCGGACACCACATTAGCCAAATTTCCGTTTGTAGCTTCGTCCCGTTTCACAGACAACATTCATAACATACACGCCGGTCTCCTTCGCAGCAATCAGGTCGTGTTTTTTAAAGGAGACTAAAGTGTGTGTCCTGGTGTAATCTGAATACTCCGACTGTGGATTACAGTCGCAACCTGTTTCGCAATGTCGTTATGCCGTTTACAGCGAGCATTGTGTGTGAATGTACACGAGTGAAGGGCGTGAGAGCATTTCCTTCTGGCCGCAAGTTCTACCTCAAGGAAGAAGGGATGTTGAGGGAGGTACGCCGCGTCTGACTATGCAAGTGTTCGTTGAGATGACCCTCACCTGCAGCTGTGTACTTCTTATCAATCGCCGAGAGATCATAGTTGGGTTTTTGAGCTAATGGTGAGCTGAAGGTGCAGGTGTGAAGTCCAGGAGCGGAGAACCATCGATAGAAGTCAAAAGTGCCGTTCTCTGCACCACCTTCGCAGAAGCGATGTCAAGGACGAGTTGTCCGCAACTAAAGTCGGAGCTGTGGTAGCGCGATGGTTGAAGGCTGCGGATGGATCGCCGATCACTAATTTGGTTGCTGGGTTAGAGCTCGACAGATAGCGTTTCAGGCGAGAATTCCTATAAAAGGGAATCGTGGAAAGCAGTAACAGTCTCCTGAAGCCAAATTCTTCAATAGCAGAGTGAAGGTTGGCAAAAATTGCATTCTTGAGCAGCTACAGGCATTTGTGTACACAGCTGCGAAGTAATTCGCCAGTGTTCTTTAAGCTGCAGCAATGTGACGGGATAATAAGATACTGTAAACTAATTCTTATCATTGATATGGCTTCAATGGAGCCCTGCTGGTCTCTTGAATCTGATAGCGTGCTTGTTCAAGGGATTCAGTTAGTAATTTACCTTTCCAGTTGAATGGATCATCCGGTTGAAGTGACAATATGACGACCGATAAACTCGAGAGAGGAGATGTGCTCATACTAATAATTTTTATGTGCGTTCTTTGACAGCATTTTCGGTAGTTGACATAATTTGTATGTATGTACGGATGTAATCTTGATGCTACTTCACCGCAGTTGGGCTAAACCAAGTTACACATACACTAGGTCTTTTTAAGCCGGATAAATTTTCTTCCACTTTATTTGCTTTGTTCGGCCTACGTGAATAATCTACTAATAAGTGGCCACATTACTTACGCTACTTGTGGTTATCTTCGTTAACTTTCTTGTGTTTGTAGTGCTTTTTGAGTAACTTGTGTACATTTTGTACTTATCGCGGATTCGTTGATAACCAACTTAATTCCATTGCTAATTTAGGGAAGAGTTATATCTGCACAGTCAGATACTTTAGCAGATATATTTTATTCGATAATGTCATTTCAAGGGATTGGTTGTTGTTTGACATACCCGATGTGGCTGCGGTTGATGTGTGCGTTGACAACGCGCCTACCTGTCTATTACCTACCACCTGGGCCATATTGGCTCTAGGAGACAGTTGGTCGTTGCTGGAGGGGATGGGGTGCACGGTCCTTGGGGCCGTGTTAGGATTAAAGAGTGGTTTCATGCACTCAGTGTGGAGCGGACTATGGTCCAACCACCGCCTTGTGTGCGATTAATTCCCAAATACAGCGTGCTTGTTTTTGCCTGTGTAGGAGTGTGGGCCGGCTCCGTTGATGGAACGTCGCTCCCATCCACATTCCTCCTGGTCTTATACCTTTGGGTTTACACTGGATATGAGGTGAGTGATTAGAGCTGTGGGTGGTGCAGCGCAAGCCACCCATGGTCCCTCTGTATGCGTGGGCGTCCTGTGGCTGGCCACAGTGACAGGCAAATACAAAACCGGATGCCAGCAACCAATCTCAGCAGTCTAACAAGTAGACACAGAACCGATAGAAAACCATGGAGATAAGCGGATTAGAGACAGTCACTGCGTCATAATCATCATGGCATGGTAGTTGAAGGTGAGCAACATACTTCAGCTAATATGCTGCAAGAAGAAAAGAACATTTTGACACAGATTAGAACGAAGGAGTTTCAGTTTGCCTTTCATACGCCGATTTCTATTTTTTTGTCATTTG